TGCTTGACCCGTTCGTTTATAAACATATTCATATATTTACATTCACATATACAAACGAACGACGAGTCCCAAACAGGACAAAACAGATGTCCAGTGCTCTTTGTTGGTTATCACAAACATTTCCATCGCATTTACATCAAACCTTTAGTTCATCATCGACAAAACTGTAATGCTGTAGTGATGATTCGTTTCAAGTGAGTCCTCGATTGGCTGCGCTATACTTGTGTTCGCCGGTACACTGAGATTACGTATTTTCGTAGAGATTCATGTTCTACGGAATTATTTTTACGGATACAAAATTAAGCCTCCATATTTTGTTACTCAATTCTCATGCGTGCACTGGACTTCGAGCAAGAAACCCCAGGCGTTCCGAGTCGCAGTCTGCCCTTACACACACACACACACACGCACGCACACACACAAATCCTGTGGAGATAACTATTCTCTCATTGGTCAGTTATAGCTAGCTAGTATTAGCTGTTTGTTTCACAAAATAGTTGACCTCACTTAGATACTTACATTTTGTGTGCATATAAGCGCACGTGTGGTATGCATGCAGGAGTTCCTTGGTAGACAAACGCCACGGTTTCCGGATTTTCAACAAGAGCGAGATCAGAGATGGAACAATAGCATACATCAGGTCTACCTGGTGCCATCTCGTCTAATGGTATGGACCACCTTATTGCGTCATGTCGACCCAGATTTTCTTCTTTTTGAGTGCTGATAGAGGTCATTCTGTGAAAGGCTTCCACTTGATCACAACTGGATATCAGCTTATTTAAGAAGGCATTCATTCCTCATATCGTTGATCACTTCAATCATGGGTTAATCCACACAATACTTTCTTTGGATCTAACAGACCTCTCTCTAACTATCACCAGTCGAAGTGGTGCATTAAACAAGTTATTACTGATCACTATTTTCCTCGTCACATAGTAGTACAACTAACAATGCCAGCGGTCTTGAATCTGCAATCACCAGGTTGAAAGTATCTTCATTGGTCATTTCTTTCCTTGAAGTCTAAGTCCCAATCACAGACCTCGGGGAAAGTGTTAAAAACAAATTGGATGACAGGCTCCGAAAAGCTAACAAGAAAATACCAAAGCGCAACATTTTTACAACAGCAAGACCATTGGAACGCCCGCATTCACACTGATGACAAAGCGATGAAATGTATTCCAGGTAAGCGTATGGTTTCGATCAGCACTCTCAGAACCGTGATAGACCGCTAACTTCTACAAGACCATCGTCATACATTGGCTTGGGTGAAATTCGAGCTTTGTTCAGTTACCCAACAAATGCGCGAACCCTCGAAACAGACCAACGCTGATTTGCATCCACGCTGTCATCACATACTGGGACCGACTTAAGCGCTATAGACAATTCAGCATCGAAATCTACTATTGAAGATTAATGAAACCATTGTCCAGAACTTCAATGGTACGCAACCGTCACCGAACGCCTTGGTATTCCAATACGACAAAAAGTTCAAGAAACTGACTTCTATCTCTATTATGTGCTACTAGCTGATACCTTCTTCCACTTGCAGCAGGTAAGGCGTACTGCGTAAAAGATCTGTTTGGAGGTCAACGTGGTTATACCGAACCACCTGTTGACCGAGCCAAGTGCAAAGCACACAAGGCACATTACACATTTTTCTTGTAGCCTCATTCTATATGAATTCTGTATTTTCCGCTTGAATTTGGTCTGAACTTTTAAATCTTCATTCTGCTCTTTTATCCAAATGGACGGCCAAAAGACAGCAACCAAAACCAGCGCACGAAAGTGCATGGTTAATGGTTGCAAAAACTGAAACTGAAATGCAGAATAGTGATTATCCGAAAGACTAGGTTTCCATATATTTCATTGTCCTATGTGGTTGCGGAACCTGACCACTAAGCATCGAGGAAGTATGCAAGCTAGAGATTCCAGACCACTGGTGTATACATTCTTTTAGCAACATTCGTTCAAGTTATGTTACTTCCTCCGAGCCGGAACTAACAGAGAGCGTTATTCTCGCATGCTTATTATCTAATATCAGTGCTTCTACTTATTACCTTGAATCGGTGAATAAGACAAAGAGCTGTGTACTCTGTTTGTCAACCTTAATACAGTTCCTGAAAATCCGTATCTTGTACTCATCTGGATTCTTCTTCAGCTTCCGATTGAATGATCCCATTTACGCGGGGATTTAGAGTCATTCAGTTGTCCAATAATGCTACCGTCGTCAGTGGAAGGTTTTTTCTTGGGAAGAACTCAATAAACCATTTAGGTAGGAATCCTTCGAGATAGAACGCTTTCTCCATAGTTATTTTCAACCTTTACAAGTAACTTACTCAGTGGTCTGTCTGTCAAGGTCTTTAGACATGCTAACGATACGGTTCTGTGCCAGGTCACTTAAAATCAATCTTAAACGTCAGTTTCTGAGAGCTCAAGAAAATCAATTGCCCTTGGATCAAACTGGCCTTCAAATGAAAAGGTTTATCTTTCGCTATCCGAAAACCCATTTAGAAACATTAAACATCATCACTTTCTGCTCAAAACCAAAAAGCATCACTAAATAACTACAAATCATTATACAACGGCTTCTCCCCCGCAAGCGTAAACCGGTATTGGTAAACTGCGTCAATTATTCCACCTAAAAGTTAAGATGAGACAATTAAAACTGAGGTATTCAACTACGTTTCATTTTGTCTAGTAGAGCATTGGGCTTAACATGCTTTGCTGTTCTCTTGATGTGTATATATGATTTCATTATTCTTCGCTGCTGTATGCTAATTATTATCCGTGTTTATTTTTTATTTATTCCTAAGAACATGTGGATCATCAATCCGTGATCCTCATGTGGTTTCTCGTAACCATTTCACTCATAAATACCCTAAGAAAACCAGCCACCCCTTTCACTTTTGTCTATTCATTTGCCGTTCCCATGCTCCAAATCAGATCCTATTTTCGCTCCTGAGGATCCCGTACAAACATTTCTCGTAATTCAACAGTACCCCAGTCGACTTGCATTCTAACCGACAAGATCTTACACGAGGCACTAGTCATTCAAAATTGCTATCACCGACTGTGTGAACGGCTTATCACTCTGGAGCTACTCTGGTAACACGTGTTTGTTGAGTGATCACAATCTTCTCGGCCTAACATTCTGTTATTTCTGACCGTACGTTAGTGATCACATAAACTGCAGTATGCACGTGTACAGATGCAGTGAAATGGTCCAGCATAGGCTGGGCAAACTTGTGCTTTCGACTTCCGTATTCAGAGCCTCCTCCTGTTTACCTTTTACCCTAGTGTGACGATGCATATGTATATTCCTGACTGGAACTTGGATATGTGTGCCTGAACAAGTTTACACTTCTCAATTTTCCTCTTGAATGGCCTGGTAATTACTTTTCGAAAAGATATCACTTTGTTAAACTAGGAAAAAAGACAGTCATTGGCGTCACCCAACAGTATGGGTGTACTTCAAGGTGCTGTCTTATCACCCAATCTTTTTGCAACTTATATTAGTGACGTACCCACTACTCCACATTTATGACATTTTAAGTATGCTGATGATATTGCAATCAATTTCTCGTATCTGACCAATCAGAACTGACTGGATATAAGAAAAACCTATTCCACCTCCTAACGTATTCCACTGTTTTCAATCTTAATCTTAATCCCAAAAATGCCTTGAATGCATTTTCACTTTAAACCGTACCCCATCTCCCTAAGACCATTCAGAGAAAGCCGATGAGCAGGGTCAGCCACGTGAAATACTTCGGTGTCACAGCTGAAGGTAACCTGCACTGGCCTTCATATACCCTAATTCTTGCTCGCAAGCCAAAAGTTCCCTCCTCCCAGATAAGAACATTGCGTCACTTCTGCTCTGATTTGTCGATAAAAGGAGCTTTTTCAATAATGTATTGTCTTCTGTGATTCTCCCTTGCCTGCTGAATGCCTATTTCAAGCTGTTGAGGTGTGTTCTCTCAAAGACCAGCCGTGTTTTCCACGTTCAGTGATCTGTTCTAACTAACAATACCTGTGCTGCTCATACTGACACGTGCTTGAAGTTTGCTGACAACATTTTATCTGGTTGTACCCATCGTTAACAAATTGACGTGTGCATGCCAACCCCACCCCTCTACCCGTTCCAAATACAAACTCATTCCACCTCAGAAACTCATCAGTAATTTATCTTGCCCGAACACTGACAGACAAGGAATGTCCTTTCTGAGCATTCTAATTCATTTAGTAGTTCATTCGCATTTTCACACGCTTGGTGTTCTCCTCCCCCCCCCCCCCCCCACACCCCCGTTACCAGTACTGTGACTGAAATCTTGTATACAACTGGCTAAAGCTTCAATACAATACCATTACAATATAATACAATATGCATATTTTCAGAACAATATTACTACATTGGGTGAATCAAATGGATTTTAAAAATCCACTCACATGCTTATTCGGTACATAATACTCGAAAACAATGGAGATAGAATGAATAGAACAATGTACATTGGTTGTTGCACTTATACCTAACCGAGCAAGCGGGTCGGGTTGTTTCATCTTGCTCAACCAAATCAAGTGTACTATATCCTGAAAATGAACCACGACTTCACAACAGTGAATGACACTAAAATCAACCACACGGTGCTGCAAACAACTATGCATCGCTCCTGTTTGAGTTTTATTTGCACGAAACATTTTCAATTCGGGAATAATAGATCTATAAAACGATGTAAACTGGCGTACGAATGAGCTTCTGTGGCCCTGGGTTGTCCTCAGATTGATCGTGCCTGATCGATGAGTGCATTCTATGATACCAGCTCTAACAAAAATTTGTGCCACAGTCCCTAGGCTAGATTATGTAGCAGAGATGATAACTTACTTTCCTGCATTAATTCCCCTCAACGGCTACTACAAGATTGCAGTACACAAAAATGTATATCGGCGAAATGAATGTGACTTCAATCGGCAAAGTAAGCAAACAATCTGAAAATCTGAATTACCTCAGTGGAACCAGCGGTCCGTTTCTTTGTGGGTACATGGCGATGCTCAACCAGATCACGCAGGACCGATTGTAAATGCAGTTTTGCCGAAGGGACACCGGCTAAAAGGCTGCAGTTTTTTATCTGACTCCGAATAAAATTCGGAGATAGTGTATGACATCGAACTACACTAAGCGCATCCACCAAGACTGATAAACGCGAGGTGCGGTCGTGATTGATCCATCGAATCATTGCGTTGTACACTTCAGCCTCGGTACGTACACTCAGATTGTCTCTTCGGATCATGGAGAACAGCTGCGACGGACTGAGAGCCAGAAATTCGTCGTATTTGACAACTTCGTTGAAATTTTGATCCAAGAACGATTGTGCAGCCATGGCTAAAGCTGTGCAGTTGTTCGATGTGGCAAACTCACAAATCCCGATTACATTGGATGGATGTAACTGGTGCTCGAGGAACGTGCAACATGCCTCAATCACGTGATTCATTTGAATCATGGAAGAAGCTGTTAGGAGTTCACAAACATTGTGCTCATCAATGCGAATCTTTCCCGTATAGGCAAACTCGATGAGTTTCCGAAGAGCATTGATTGATATGCAATGTAATTCAATTTGTGTCATTTCAGATTCACGCATATTTGTGCAGAACATCGCGCGGAAATAGGGAGACGCACTAGCCAGTACAATTCTATGGCATCGAATTTGTTCAGAAGCAACCCTCAAGGTTACATCAGTGAGATTGCTGGAGAGGAAAAGATCGTGCATGGCATTTAGTGCTTCAGAATGATATTCAGACAGGTCGAAATCCATGCCAACCATATTGTCTGTGGAAATGCACGAAGTATTGATTATGCCACCCGGGTGCGTGAGGGCAGAAGAACCACAAGTAACACCAGGCGAACCGCGAGTTGCAGTGCCATCTGAAACTGTGGGTTCCTCCATAGGAAAATCTTCTATGCTCTCCTTCATCATGAATCCCGCTGAAATTTGCAAGGTGAGAAATAATATAGAGACAGACATAACATAAAGGGTGGAACGAATAAATTGGGGATGAAATGATAAACCCCAATGCGACAGACGCACTGACCGCCGTTCAACCTGTCTGTGTTTCAACTGGTGTGAAATATTATATATATATATATATATATATATATATATATATATATATATAATTACTACCACAAAGGTATACTGCATCGAAGGGACTTCATCGTAAAAACATTAACAAGGAGAAGGAATGGAATTCTGTGCCAATGAATCCAGATAGGAGACAACGACGTTCCTTGAGATGGGTTGCATATTTTGTCAACAATGAAAATAAAAAGGAGAGATAGATGATTACAACTGCGGAAAACGCCCTTTGGGAAGAAGAAAAGCAATGTTTTTACGCGATCCATCGTGCACTTTATGCTACCTTTGACTGGTTTAAGATTTTGTTCTTCGTGGGACTCGGGGTTTAAACAGACAGATCATAGGACAAAGAACGACGGACAATAACAGCTGAGGCTGGAGTAATAGTGCGCAGATCCTTTATACCCGGAGCAAAGCAAAATAGTAACGCTAACAATTTTTTTCTTCCTAATTTACCTATTTTCTCGTGTGAGCTCTTAAGTTACTTCTTTTCCTTAATTTCCTCCCTAAATTGGTTTGCATCGGTTAAACAGCATTTTGTTTACAACCGCCAACCTGGTCGTCCCCCCTCCTCCTATTTTGGCCACTTTCGGAATCGACTGTTTTCTTTTTGTTGCTGTGACTAGCTGAAACCGATCGATACAGACCCCGTGGCCAGCGTTGGTCGGGACCATTGCCGCCGTTATGAGTCATGACCTTAGTGACTGTTTGCAATAATCACATGATGCTGTAACCTGATTTAGGAATCATAAATGAATCCTACCGTACGTCGTAAGACTCGTATTAGATGTGACGACCTCTAGCGTTTGAATTGATCGATTTAGTCAATGCCCAATCCACCACAGTTAGAAGTATTCTAGCTGTAGCCGGACCTAATACCGAACATTTCGGAGACACTCACTACACCCGTGCAAATCAATTTACATATTTCCTTCGGACATTTGCATGAAACTATATCACGTTACCACGGAACCTGGGAAGGCAGAAAAATTCGCACCAGTGCGATTCAGGTAGTGAAAGCCGAGTTACGGAGAGCATGGTGGCCAACAGCAGAATAAAAGGACAGAAACTAAGTATTTGGTGACTCATCCACATATTAGCAACGACTGCAGAAGAACAGGTTAAGTTTGCCAGTCGGACGAACTGCACATTCAAACAATTTCAGTTTAATCAGGTGTAAAGTCCAAATATGTAAGGGCGGATCACTTGTGTGCGTAATGCCACGGTCATTTTATCAACGAACCCTCATTGCGGGCATTGAGAGACCATTCCGAATAAGTCAGGTGGACGAACACTCTGATAGTGGAAACCTCAGTCGGGATGCAGCATGATCGGCGATTCTGTGAATGTTTATCAACAGACTCACTAAGGAGTGATCGATAGAGAATTCAGTTAGTCTGAGATACAATGCGTTAAAATCATCTTAAATACAAATATAATTTCGGTCCAATGATAAATACGACCAAGCAAAACGGGGAGGATTCATTCGACAAAACGTAATACATATTCTAAGCTTTCACTACAAACACCAAANNNAAGTTTGCGAACCTCATTTCTCGTTGGCAGTTGGTGCTACTGAAAGACAGGACACACCTGGTTACGTGCATGCAACAAAAGACGGATGAACATGGTATCAAGCAACATCAACCTGTATCACCCTCGAGCTTGTGAGAAAAAGCTACAAAATGGATGCCCGTTGACAGGGTACGTAGCACCAAGTATTTCGGCAGGATTGGTCCACAAGAGACACAACACTATTACAGATAATTTCCCTCAAGCCCGAGAACGAATATGTAAAAGGACCTGATATATGAGCAAAGTTCTGACAGTGGCATATCATCTTCGGCCGCGTGCAAAGGTAATTTACAGGTTACGCAGTTTATAGCTTCCACTAACCTCANAGTACGCACCCAGGTACTATTTCGTCACCATCAACTGCAAAAACAATGCATATCGCAACTTTAAGCTTTTTGTGCTTCCCCCATGTGCGCGGAAATTTATTACTCAGGTATGATTTCTTAGAACTCCACGAAAAATCTTTTACTTCCTGTGGCATGATCACTGCACATATGGAAACAGCATCTCTTTCAATAAATCTATTGCCTCATTGCAAAACCGTTCGTAACAAAATCACGTTATCAGACACCTGTCGATGAGCTATCTATACGATCAGAGGTTAATAGACTACGGAAAGAGGATGTCACTGAACGCCCAACATCCCCACGGCGTACCCAGATGTTGGCAACTATGAACCAACACCCCGTTGCAGTGTATTCAGCACATTGCATCTACGCAGCCTCTACCACCAAATCGCCATCTGTAAACATGAACGACATTACACAGCTTTGAAGCCTGTGGTACTAGGTGCACATTTTATAGGATATCTTTCAGAGTAACCAACGGTGCTGTTTTTTCAACGCGAGATAGATAAAATCGTAAAGAACGAAAATTTAGACTTTTTTATTATTACACACTTGCGTGTGATGAACAGCAGACGGAGTAAGCCCCATAGTCATAAGGACCTGCTGTTTATTGAAGGAAACCGGTAACCTAAGTCCCGGGACTTTGAGTGGCGAACCATATAAGGCCCCGATAGGTACCTTTGTTCAGGTATGTGGTATCGACAAAGACGATCAGTCTGTTGGCACGTTACTGTGAAGTGATCGTTAATACACCAAAACTGGTTTTCGATGTTGTTTCAGAACGATCTTGACCTCTCACAGCAAGATGGGGAAGCGAAAAGCCCTGTTCTCGGCCATCTGGGAGACAGATGAGCGCACATTTGAGATTACACTAGATAAGTTCAACTTCAGTTTCATTGGTGCAAACAGGAGATATTTCGTAAGGGCAAGAACTGGACAGATGAGAAAGCGAAGTTGCCAAACGGCTGCCTAAGACTTAATCAACAAACGGATCGTGCTTGCTTAAACTAATCTGACGGCGCATCAAGACCGGTCCCCGACTCATCAACCAAGTAGACAGTGATACTCTACTAATCGATTTACAGCTGTGGGAAAATAGTCACTCGTGAGGAGTATCGTTTTTGGCCGCACAGGGAGGAAAGAGGAATGGAGGTCGAGTGATAGTACGTTTTTCCACTGGATGGTAGCGAGACCTCGTAACTTGACTAGTATCATAACTGATTAACACAGTTCCCCGTTCATTTTCTCCATCTACCCATTCGACTGTGGGTTGTAGCGGATAAGAATAGGTTGTCGGCGTTCGAACACCGCCGTCTATACCGCACTGCACGAGTGTGGTGGGAAAACCGGACAAGCAATGATGAGGCTATGCTTTGAGTTCTAAGTAATCGTGGTCGTCCACTGGAGCCAGTGGTCAGCCTTCATAGATTAAGGTGTTTGGGACATCTCGCCAAATAGGTTACCACGGCGCGCGATGTTTGCCGAAGTCAGCGGCGGATGAAAAAAGGTCAAGGATGGTCAAACTAAAACCTCGTATGAGGTTATCACAACCCTAACCAGGACAGTGGGTCACACAGGGCCAGTTAGGTTCCCTGGATGGGGACCCCCAGATCATGGTAACCGGTGATTGGAGACACTGAGTGATATACCTTGGTGTCGCAAACAGTGGCGCTCGTGCATCTCCTCATTATTCTTGCAACACCAATCCATAAGAATTTTCTACCTTCACTCTCACTCTGCTCTCAAAACTACAATCTGATCTTTTATTCAAGCAAAATCTTATCCTGCCTGGAAGGTCGGAGGGTAGAGTTCAGACGAAATGCAGTCCCATGGTCCTCCAAGTTGGGAGTTCGACTAGAATTGGCGTTTCAATCGATAAAAAACGGTGGAGGATTAGTCGATCCAAGTAAATGGGTCTGCATTTCGCTTCACTCACTGCCTATCGGTTAGGTTCTTGTTAGAACTAAAGGCTTTGGACGAGAATCCTAATCGTCCTCCTGCTTAGTGGCTGGACACCCTCGCAGTNAGTACCCGTCCATCAAACCCCAATGCACACACAAATTACAAATAATTCCATACTGCATCGGTCGTCGCGCAGGTTAATCGGAACCGCGCTGCCCATTGCATCGAGCGGGATGGGTAGTGATAAGTGGGCTACTACTCGGATATTCCAACCTTTATTTAATTCGTTGTCTTCGTTACACAGCCCTCTCCATTTTCCTCTTCTTCCGACCTGCAATAGTCCCTCAACCAACTTCAATGTCACTCGCCAAAGGTCGTTGCCAAATAGCACTGTAAGTAATGTATCACGAAACGAAATGCAGATTTTAACGCCTAGTAAATCACTTTTTTATTTTTTATTACATACCTAAGTGTGATGAACAGCAAACGGGGCGAACCGCATAGTCACGAGGGCCTGCTGTTCAGTGGTGGAAACCGGTGACCTAAGCCCCGGGACTTGGAGTGGCGAACCACCTAAGCCCCGATTGGTTAGGTGTGGCATTGAACTGGACGACAGCACAGCTGTCTATCACCAAATCTGGGGACCTTCAACGTGAGGACCCGGATGCAGATAGTTCAACAAGATTATCTGGCGAGTACAATTTGATCCTTAGGGATCGATATTTACTACATGTTGGAGACTCGAATTTAGGATCCTAATACTATAAGCCACTTTAGCGTACCAGATTTGTCTTCGAGATACATTCTTCACAAATCAAGCAACGATGAAACTCGTTCAGTAGGCCAGAGCAGGGTAGCTATTGTACTCAGCAACAGGGCGGAGTTCTGTATAACTGACTGGAGCCGCGTCAATAGTCGTTCATGAGCAGTGCGACTAGAGGGTTCAATCAGTGTCCGGAAGGGAAGACACACCAAAAGGTGTTTGTTCATCGTATCACCATATCCACCGACCGATTG